TGATTGGCTTATTTCACTGAACGTAATACCCTCTGGGCCCATCCGTCTCTGGCTGCTGTCTGTAATCACCCCACTCACCCTTTATCACTGAAGTCTTCACCCATAGGAAGCTGGGTCAAAGACAAACTGAATTTAATGTTCTACAAAACAAGACAAAATCTGGCGAATTAAAACATAATAGATACAAGAAGCAAGTCCATTTGGCAAATTGGCTCTTCTGTGACCTCAGGGCACTGGCCAGCTTCCCAGTCACCACGATGAACTTGGGCACCTTATCAGGTCGAAGGCCTAGAAGGGACAACAGAGAGTGCCTAGTGCAGTCCACGCGCTCTGCCACTGGAGGCGGGAGCTCTGAGGGCACTGATGCTGCCTTTCTTTTTTACCGACGTGTTCCCAGCGCCTAGAACAGTGCCAGTCACACATGTTTGCTAATGGAAGATTGGAGTAGGAAAACCAGGCCACACGATTCTGAGTGGCTTGTCTAGGGCCACACAGCCAGTTAGTGGCGAGGCCAGTCCTAGAACTCGGGTGATTCCACTTTCACTAAATTTGTATAATGTCAACAATGTTTCTATTTTGAGTCTTTTAGTCTTAATTATTATATGAAAAACTTCATCTCCTCTTTTTTCTATACATTTTATTTTACTTTTTCCATCATCATTGATCCCCATGAACCCTCCTCCTACCCCTCCCTGCAGTCACCACCTCCATCTCCCCTTAAGGCAGTTCAGTGGCCGGAGAACTGGAAGGATTTCCTCTGTCGGCAGTATCCACATGACATATTCTCTTCTTTCTTCCACCTTGAGCACAGTCGTCAGAGTGCTCTCCTTTCCTATTTCTTCCCCAGATGAATAGCTCGGTTAGCACTTACAGTGCATCTGAATTTGAATATAGATGCCCCCCACCCCACACACACGAGCACACACGCACACATAGATACACAAGCACAGGCACTACTTGGTGTTCCTGGGGAGACATATTAAAATTCCTGACTGTATCAACCCTAGAATCCTACATAATAAAAGCCTAATATGCTAAGTGTCTGACTGTTCATTTGGCCGTTTGACCGGTAGCTATGATATACACTGACCACCAGGGGGCAGACCCTCCAACCAATAGGTTAGCTTGCTGCTGGAGTCTGGCAGATCGGGACTGGGCGAGATAGGCCGGACACACCCTGGAGCCTTCCCATGGTCCCTCCCTGGCCCTAATAGTGCACTGGCGGGGCCCCTCGCCTGGCCTGTGCCCTCTCCCAATCTGGGACCCCTTGGGGGATGTCAGAGAACTGGTTTCGGACCAAGCCCTGCAGGCCAGGCCAAGTGACCCCACCAGTGCATGAATCTGTGCATGGTTCCTCTAGTATGCTATAAGAATTCTTCATGTGAATTACAACTTGACTGACTGCAAACCAATTTCTGCAATTCCGACCTTGCATGCTGTTTTTTTTGCCCCCCCCCCCCCCCAGGGGCTCATATTTGAAACCACCATTTGCTGTTTGTTTCCAGACCATGGTGCTGTGGAGGGAGCAGCCACATGGGCCTCCCACCCTAACTGACCGCTATGCAGCGAGAAGCGAGGCTCAAACCCCAGGTGCCCAGTGGACGGCCTGCCTGCGCTAGCTGGTCCAGGAAGCTGCCAGCTGGAGGCCCAAGGCTGGCTTTTAGCTGCCCATCACCAGAGGCTCCCCTCTCCCCAGCCCGAGATCACAACTCCCGGGGCCGAGGTCTCAGACGCCCTGAGGTGTTCCCCGACAGCACTTGCGGAAGTCTGCGCCTGAATCCTCTCCCCTTGGCACCAAAGTAACCGAACGTCGCCATGGACAAGGCCACCTTCTCACTCGTGCCCTGAAAGGGAGCAAGGAGGACGCGCGGGCCCAGCCCTGGAGCACGGACACTTGGACACTTGGTGGCGCTGCCTGTCCTTCTGCGGTTGAGCCGGCCTTGGGAGTTTTCCACTTCTCAGTGGGTCCTCAGCTCCTGACCCTCCCCTCAGTCCACGCACTTCTCTGCAGGGAGCCTGCCCCCCTCCCTGAGCACCACCCGGCTGGGCCCACGGCTGTCCCTGCTCACAGGTCCCTGCTGCTACTTCTGTGCAGGGACAGGGACACAGAGAGGCCCTCCTGCCCTCTCCTCCCCAAGCCTGCCTGCCTGTCCATCTGTCTATCATCTATCTATCTATCTATCTATCTATCTATCTATCTATCTATCTATCATCTATCTATCTATCTACCCTCTATCATCTCTATCATTTATACTATATCTCACGGCGTCCCAGTGCCAAATCAAGGAAGGAAATAAACAGGTTTTAATTATCTTCTCTCCCGGGGAATAACATTCCACTTCCTCCTACCTCCCTACTGTCAAACCCTAAATATAAGAACCAGAGAAATGGAATAAATGTCCCCGAAGAAATATCCAAATCGCATTCTTGTCCTGGTTCCTGAACCCCTGCCCGTATTTCAGAGCACACAGGCTCGTGCTGGGCAGTAGGTGGCCCAGGAATCCTTTTATTGCGTTGAGAGCTTTCGTTGAAAGTGTTTACCCAGCGAAAATGAGAACTTAAGCTATTGGGTTGACTGGCTTTTTCCTAAGAACTGTCCAATCCTAAGGCTCAGAGAAGGTTTCCCCATTTTCGTCTTCTGCAAAGTGAAACGTCAGGTGAGCTGCTGGCAGCTGTGCCGACTGCCGGTGCTTCTGTGCGGTTGTCTCGGTTTCCACGTGGAAAGATGCCCGGGACCCCCAGAAGCCCCTGGGCGGCAGCTGGAATCGTGACGGTGGTTCTCACGGTGCTGAGGACGCCCCTGGCTCACCGCAGAGGGACCCCCGGTGAGTGCCGGGCAGCTGCTCTGCCAGCCCCCAGGCCTGGGGGTTCTGGGAGCTCAGGGCTTGGGGTCGGTGTGTTGCACTCTGAAGTCCCAGGTAGACTTGGAAGGGCTCCCATGACAGTCCAGATGTCTCCGCCTTAGGAAGAAGCGTTTGCTACGTTCTTTTCTCCAACCTCTGCAGCTGAAAGGAGGGTAGTGTCTTTCTTTTTTTTTTTTTTAAATATTTTTATTGATTTCTGAGAGTAAAGGAGAGGGAGAGGGAGATAAAAACATCAATGAGAGAGAATCACTGATCGGCTGCCTCCTCCACACCCCCTACTGGGAATTGAGCCGGTAACCTGGCATGTGCCCTTGACTGGAATCAAACCTGGGACCCTTCAGTTCACAGGCCTACGCTCTATCCACTGAGCCAACCCAGCTAGGGCGAAAGGATACTTTCTCTCAGGGATGGGCTTTGGGATCTCAGGGTTGGAAGAAAAAGTACATTTTTACCAAAACAAAGTTACCGAACTGCTATTACTTTACCCTCTTTAATCCTCAACTGAGGATATACCCATTGCTTTAATTAATTAATTAATTAATTTTAATTTTTACCCATTGATTTTATTTTATTTTTATTTTTAAATATATTTTATTGATTTTATACAGAGAGGAAGGGAGAGGGATAGAGAGCTAGAAACATCGGTGAGAGAGAAACATCGATCAGCTGCCTCCTGTATGCACCCAGATGGGATCGAACCCACAACCTTTTCCATGTATGGGACAATGAAGTTGAAGTTATCAGTCTTTGCTCCTTATGGTCAGTGCTTTTAATGATCTGTGTGAGAAGTCTTTACCACCCAGAGTCATGAAGGTGGCGTAGCATGGCCTGTTCACGCAGGTGTAGTTGCATCTGGTGCGAGGCCCATGCCCGCCTTGCTCTCTCCCCCGCCATTGGGACACCGTTTATTAACAACAGCACCATTTCCCACTGAGCGACAATGCCACCCTGGTCGTAAACTTACTGTAAATATATGCCTGGAACTACTTTTGATATATAGTTTGCCATCTGTTTATTTTCCTATGTCTGTGTCAATAACACAGTATACAATTACCACAGTTTTATTTGATATTTTGATATTTAGTAGAGAAAAATTTTTCATAATATTTACTTCTTCAAGAGTAGTTTGGCTAATCCTTGCTATTAAATTTTAGAATCTCCCTGGTGTGGCTCAGTGGATAGAGTGTAGGCCTACACACCTAAGGGTCAAGGGTTCGATTCCCTGTCAAGGGCACATACCTGGGTTGCAGGTTCGATCCCCAGCCATGGTTGGGGCACGTGTGGGAGGCCATTAATCAATGTATTTCTCTCACATTGATGTCTCTCTCACTCTTATCATTCCCTCCCTTCCACTCTCTAAAAATACCAATAGAAAAAATATCCTATTAATAACAACAACAAAATTTTAGAATCATTTTGTAAAGTTTTAAATAATTAAAAACTGTAAGAATTTTAATTGATATGCATAAAATCCATAAATTCACTTGGCATAATTGTCATCTTTATTATACCTTTTTTTTTTTTTTTAAAAATATATTTTATTGATTTTTTACAGAGAGGAAGGGAGAGAGATAGAGAGTTAGAAACATCGATGAGAGAGAATCATCGATCAGCTGCCTCCTGCACATCTCCCACTGGGGATATGCCCGCAACCCAGGCACATGCCCTTGACCGGAATCGAACCTGGGACCTCTCAGTCCACAGGCCGACGCTCTATCCACTGAGCCAAACCGGTTTCGGCAATTATACCTTTTAATTCAAAATATATCTTTTTATTTATTTGGGAATGTTTTGATATATCTCATCAAATTTCATTATGTCCTTCAAGAAATCTTGTATATCTTTTGTAGGTCTTATTCCTAGATAAAAATTTTTTTTGATGTGGTAATAATTGAAAAATTGTCCTTGGTCTATATAATGTTTTAAAATACATCTTGTATGAAGCTACTTGCTAAACTATCGCTTTACATCCATTTAGCAATAGATTGTTTTCGATTTCTTTATTCGCAGATTCCTTATATGCAAACACTGACAGTTTTATCTTTTCGTTACCAATCATTCACTGTTCCATTGGTTTTCCTGCTTTACCTTCGGTTTTCTCTAATAAATGCTCAGTTCAGGGCTTGAGGCCGAGAAGGCATCGAACTCCTTCCTGGGGATAATATCCGTGGGGAGCGAGTGGGAGCCTGGTGCTGGGAACGCGCCTACCGACCTGAAAGGAAGGGCTGGGGGGTCGGCCGGAGCTGCAGGGACTGGGAGACTAGCTCTCCCGCGGGGCCAGGCTTGCTTCTTCACACAGGTGCGCGGTGAAGGCTCGTTCTCAGGCAGAGAGAGCAGCTCTCCAGCTGTCCTCACGGCTGTCCTCACCGCTGTCCTCACCACTGTCCTCACCGCTGTCCTCACGGCTGTCCTCACTGCTGTCGGGCAGTTATTAGATGGGACTTCCTGCTCTGAGCTCCCTGCCTGAAGCACGCGCAGGCTCTGTCGCCTTCCTAGGTGACTGGCTGCGTGGCTGGGGGGCCTCACGTTATGGCGTGGAAGCCTTATGGGCCTGGGTGGGTGCGGACAGACCCGGAGCTCTTGCATTCCCTGGTGGAGGGGGAGAGGAGAGGCAGGTGCAGTGTCCCTCTCGCCAGGCCAATGAGTTTCCCTTCTCTTTTCCTTCTTCTGAGGATAGGAGGCCCCGAGGCCCCGCCCACAGGTGACGTTCCCACTCTTCCCGCAGAGACGTGACTCAGGTGAGATAGGAAGGAGGGCGTGGGCTTGTCTGCACACTGACCGGCTCCCGTTGTGCTGTCCTTGCTTCAGCCACATGCGTTCTCATGGGAGTCGGGCCGGGGAAACTCTGGGACGTTCTGCATAGTCTCAGCGGGCGACTTCGGAGGTCATTTCCCAGACTAAGACTGGCCTTGGCATCAGCCGTGCAGCGAGGTTTGCATGGTGCCCCCAGTCCAAATGGCAGAAAGTGCCGCTCAGCTTGCTGGCGGGCGAGGCGACGGGCCCGAGGGGGCAGGGCCAGTTTACTCAGGGACCTGTGGCTGCTGACGCCCTCCTCGCTCTCGTCCAAGGCTCTGCACTGACCCAGACATTCTTCCTGATCCGTCACCGCCTCTCCTTGGCCTTGCCCCGCTGTTACCTCGGCCGAGGGTCCCAGCCTCCCCTCCACCAGGCCGGTGAGCAAGCCACCGGTGCCAGCTGTCACCCCAGGTCCTGCCCCCCAGAGACCGAGAGGCAGCTGCCGGCCTTCCTTTTGTCCTGTCTTTGCTGCGTGGCCTGTGACTGGTTTGCACCCGGTGCTGGAGGCTCTGCCCGCCGTGTCTGTCTGAACCAATGCCCATTCTCAATGGCGTTTCAGATCCTGCTCTTCCTGAAGACAGCCCCCGAGTTCAGCGCCAAGCTCTTTCAATAAAGTTTTTTTTCAAAATTAAAAATATTTGTGTATCACTTGTGTTCCACTTCTGCTTGCGTATGCGGTGGTTGGCGGGGGTGGGGGATGGGGGGTGGGGGGTGGGGTGGGGGGTAGGGGGTGTGGATGGGGTGGAGGTGTGTGTGGGGTGTGTGTGTGGGGAGACACTGAGCAAAACAAAAGTCAGATTCTCAAGTTCAGTTACGCTCCAAAGAAGGTACTATCCAGGCAAGGAGACTAGGAAATCATGGGTCTCCATGCATGGTATAACTCAGGGGCCACATAAGAATGGGGCATGAGCCCTGGCTGGTTTGGCTCAGTGGTTACAGTGTCAGCCTGCAAATTAAAGGGTCACGGGTTCAAATCCTAGTCAAGGGCACGCACCTCAGTTGTAGGTTCTCCAGCCCCGGTAGGGGTGTGTGCGGTAGGGGCATGTGCAGGAGGCAACTAATCAATGTATCTCTCTCATGTTCCTCTCATGTCAATCTCTCTCTCTCTCTCTCTCTCTCTCTCTCTCTCTCTCTCTCTCTCTCTCCACCTCCTCCCTCCTTCCCACCCTTTCTAGAAATCAATGGAAAAAATCCTTGGGTGAGATTTAAAAAAAAAAGAATGGGACATGAGGTATGAAACAAATTCAGGTTTCCATCCTCCAGGGCCCTTGGGTCTGGGGTTGCGTGTCCCTCCTGGCTCCCACTATGGTCTACGAGCTTCAGGTATTTGTGCAGGTGCCAGTCATGGTACCTGATGCCTAGTGCTGCAACGGATGGAACCAACAGCATAAACTTTTCCTGTCAAGGGCCCCGTGTACAGTGGGGAAAACAATGATTGTTAACTGAATATGACCCCCCCACTGTAATTAGCAATGGAGGTTTTATTAGTACTTTTTAAATTGCATATGATGAAAACTCTACTAATGCCAGCTTAAGAGAAAAAATTAGTTTTTTGGGTTCATGAGATTTGAAAGTTCATTATGTGAGTTTGGCTTCAGAAAATGCCTAGATCCCAGGACTCAAACGAGGTCTTTATCCCTCCTCCCTCTGAGCCTGGCTCCCTCCTTCCTCTCCCCTCCCCTCTGTGCTCCCTCCCTTCTCTCAGTGTGCTTCTTTCCCCTTCTATTCCGTATCTCTGTCTGCTGCTTCTCTCGGTCTCTCTCTCATATCTCTCTTGCCATCCCTGTCTGTCTGAATGACCTGCTCTTGTACTGTTTATCTATCAGATGGCTTTTCTGTC